GTAGTATATCTATCTGTCGGTCTGTAGAATAGTATATCTGTCGGTCTGTAGAATAGTATATCTGTCGGTCTGTAGAATAGTATATCTGTCGGTCTGTAGAATAGTATATCTGTCGGTCTGTGGAATAGTATATCTGTCGGTCTGTAGAATAGTATATCTGTCGGTCTGTAGAGTAGTATATCTATCTGTCGGTCTGTAGAATAGTATATCTGTCGGTCTGTAGAATAGTATATCTGTCGGTCTGTAGAATAGTATATCTGTCGGTCTGTAGAATAGTATATCTGTCATCTGTCGGGTCCTTTGGGCACGTGCCCAGCACGGGGAAAGCCGAGTCATATAGTAGAGCTTCTCTCTCTCAGCTCTTTTTTCAGAATTTTCCACACTGATCTCCATCGTGGCTACACCAGTTTGCAATCCCACTAACAACGAACGGAGAAGGGTCCCCTCTCCTCTACATCCTCACATCATGAGAATGCCAGTCAGCACGCTGATGTGGATGGGGTGGGGGGGGGCTTTCACAAGCCCCTGCCGAAATTGAAGAGCTGCTGGCAATTAAATGGCTTTCACTAGGGATGACCCTTCCCCCATCCCCAGACATGTTATCTAGTCCCCAGTGGTCAGCCATAAACACATAAATAAACTGCACTAAATGGACGCATAAAGGGGTGTGAGAGAGAGAGAGACAGAGACACAGAGAGAGAGAGAGAGAGAGATTCCAGGGTAGGGGGGTACATGGGAGGAGACTTGTGGGGGATTAGGGAAGGGTGAGAATTATATAAGCCCAGTAATTATGCATGAAGTTCTAAAAGAAGAGTTAAAAGGAAGAAATGAAGTGCTATCAAGGCAGGCCCTTAGAGCCCTGGAAGCTGTCAGCTCTAGAGTTCTGGGCTCCCTCCTGGCTAATTTACAAATAGACACATTTAAACTAAATACTCTTAAGTGAATTAGCGCTAAGTAATTCGCATATACTGTTAGTTCTCCTGTGGCCTCTAATGTTCACTATTCAAAGTACGTGCAAGAGTCTTAACACTTGCGTTTTTTTGTTTTGCTGAATGTTATTTTTTTTTAAGGCTGCCTCTTGCTTTTAGGTTCTGTGCGTGGAGAGATAAGGGAATAGTTTGTGTTGGCAGAAGGTGAGGCATCTAGCCTTCCTGGTCCCAGAAGTGTCATTGCTGTGTACGTGTCCTACTAGAGGGAATTGCCCCAGAGTCAATATTTGCTTAGAAACTCTCCCCGCAACCTACGCTTATTTGATCAGATAAGAGAAAAATTGAATCCAGAGTCTAAACAACAGCTCACCTCTTCCTCCTCTTGTCACTAAACCTCACTGTTAGGAGATGTGAAGAGAAAAGTTGCCTCCTAACATAGACTTTGGCATTGATGTATATATTATAGGATCAGTAAGAAAGTTCCAACCACATATTTCATGTGCATGATTTCACGGGGGTGAACATAAACCCTTGAACCCCTAGAACAAATAAGTTTTGTCCTCTAGAGATGTATGTATCGGCTAAATGAACCCTGAGACTTATGATTATTTCGTGTTTTGGTTTTTTTTTAACTAAGCTTATTTATATGCTGGACTGGGAGAGTCTCTTTTCTCCATCTTTCCGTATGTAGATGTAGATACAAAAAAATGGTATTGTTAAAAACTGCTCAGAAAACATTATAATGTTTGTAAATCCATAGTGAGTGAGTCCATGAGCGCATTTAGGAGGGTGGGGGGGTTGTTGTAGGCGGTTGCCCTCCTTCTGATGGAGAGGGTGGAGGGATGGATGCTATGGAGACCACAGGACTCTGCCTAAGACCAGCTTAGGGTCATCATGGACCGCTGACTCTCCATCATCTCTTTCCTGCACCTCCTTGTCAATACGGAGCTCCTTCTGTCTAAGAGTACAGCCCACACCCTCCACATTTGTCCCTCTCCCTGCTGCCTCCCCAGCAGGACGGCCACTGTAACAGTCCCCTGACTGGCCTCTCTGTGTTCCTACTTGCTGCTGTGGCACCTTTATCTCCCGCAAACAGATCGACAGAACGTGAGGACATGTGCACCAATGGAAATACGTTCTCCGGTGGTTTCCCATGTCCTCTGGCTCAAGTCTAAATTTACTGTGGTCTGTACCGGTTGGGCGAGTATGTAACGACTTCGCTAGACCCAAGATAAACAATAAATGGGTGTTTATTAGGGAACACTTACACAGAGAAATACAAAGAACTATGGGAGCGTTTCTCTACCCTTCCTACCGGATTCACTGACCCACCAGAAAGATCACGCCAAGGAAAGTCAGGCCTCAAGCTTCCCCTCTTTTCTGCTTCTGTCTGCCTGAGGTCCCAGCCAAGGGGGGTGTGGCCACCATTACAAGTTCACTGCGAGCCTTCTACACGCATGTGCATCAAAGGATATAAGTCCTTCAGTGGCTTGCCATTATGATAATTGACTGAACCTCTGAATCTGTAAGAGAGCCCCCTCAATTAAATGGTTTCCTTTATAAGAGTTGCCATGGTCGTGCTGTATTTTCACAACCATAAAAAAAAAACCAAAAAGCCTCAGACAGCAATACAATCTTTTAACAGAGAAAAGTTGAAAAGTCATGCAACTATGAGAAATGCAGCAGGTCCACGGGAGGGGGGGTGGGTCATGCAAGCCAGGAGGACATGGCTGGAATAATCACAGTTGAGATATCCTTTGCCATCTGGATTAATCTAAAACTTAGCCTCAGACAGACTCTTTGGACAAGGGCAAAGATCACCAAAAGATCACAAGAACGATCTCTGCGCACCATGCTCAAATTCTTCTCCTCTGAAACCTCTTAGGTGAGCCCCAACAGTTCGAATAACTGTCAGCACCTCTGTCTTCCACACTCCTACTTGTTTGGCCCATTAAGCAGTGCCTTAAGCCAACAACAATAGCCCAGTCCCCAGTACCAACTTCTTAGTTAGGGTATTTATTGCTGTGAAGAGGCACCATGACCACAGCAACTCTGACAAAGAAAACATCTGACCACGGTGACCCCCTTACAGTTTCAGAGGTTCAGTCCTCTATCATCATGACAGGGAGCGCTGTGGACCGTGTGCAGATGTGTGTTTCTGGAGTAGCCGAGAGTCCTACGTCTTTTAGGTAACAGGAAGTGGAGTGACAGACACACCGAGGGAAGCTTGAGCAAAAGAGACCCCAAAGCCCGCCCCCACAGTGACACACTTGCTCCAACAAGGCCATAACTCCTAATTGTGCCACTCCGTTTTTGGGGACATTTTCTTTCAAACCATCACAGGCCATGGTGTTCATGTTGAAGTCAGGAAACAAACTGCAGGAACCTCACTCTGGCCCTCAGGCGGCCAGAGACTTTATGTAGTTAGCCATCTCCCTAGCCCCTCACTTCACCTGTTTTCCTGGGTAATATTTATACTTCATGGGGAACATCTGTCTTGTTTGTGAGCAAAACTCCAATGCCAGGCACATAGTAGACACTCAGCACACACACACTAGACACAAAACTGTCTAGTCGTCAAGCTTGGATCAGAGTTGCATTCGTTTTGTGTTTATTGAGTGCCTGTGTGAGAGTAGAGATTCCCAGGAAGCTAGAGAGGAGGAGGAATCTGGTCAGTAGTGAGCAGACTTCTAGGATAAGGAATCCACCTGCCAGAGCATGGCTCGTGTGTTTATTAGTTATTTGAGACTTAATGCTGGATTAAGTAGAGAAGAGGCTGGAACCAGGACATCTTGCGGGAGGTTATGTGGTGGTCAGGAAAGAGCCATAATATGCTTGACAAGGAGGTCTAGGCAAGGGAGAAGTGGACACAAGACTCCAGAGTTTGCAATTTTGTGGTGACAATGCACACATAAGCAGACGCACCCAGCAACTGAGCCCCGTAAAACGTTGTTTCCTGTGTGATGAGACACTCATCTTGCCAGTCAGAACACCATGCACGTGCACACACACACACACACACACACATACACACACATACACACACATACACACACACACACACACACACACACACGCATGCACACATCTGCTTGTGTGTGCAGAGTTATAATCCTAGCAACTTGGGAACTTGGGGTGGGAGGATCAAGTGTTGATACCTTATGTTGATACCTTAGTGAGATGCTGTTTCAACTTAAAAAAAAAACAATTAAAAGGGTGAATGACCTGTGAACAGAGCTCAGCAGTAGAATGTGAAGCTCCCAGTTCAATCCTCCATTAAAGGAATATTAATTTAATGTCTCTTCTCAATGATCATGAGTAGACACCCTCGTCTATGCCCCAGGGTTCCTTTGACTCCCTTGCCTGTATCGAGTTCCTTTGACACACTTGCCTGTATACTAGAGTTACTTTGACACCCTTGCCTATATAGCAGAGTTACTTTGACTCCCTTACCTGTATACTAGAGTTACTTTGACACCCTTGACTGTATACCAGAGTTATTTTGACACCCTTACCTATATACTAGAGTTACTTTGACACCCTTGCCTGTATACTAGAGTTACTTTGACACCCTTGCCTATATACCAGAGTTACTTTGACTCCCTTACCTGTATACTAGAGTTACTTTGACACCCTTGCCTGTATACTAGCTACTTTGACACCCTTGCCTGTATACCAGAGTTACTTTGACTGCCTTACCTGTATACTAGAGTTACTTTGACACCCTTACCTGTATACTGGAGTTACTTTGACACCCTTGCCTGTATACCAGAGTTCCTTTGTCAAAGCACAGTAGTGGAAGGATGATGTCAGGATGTGATGGGATGGAGACAGGAACTGAAATTAAAATTTCCCACCGCCATTAATTGAGTAGATGAGATAATGTGCATAACAAAACCTTAGCGTGACGGGCAACCTTCCGTGGGAATAGCAAATGGTATTGCTGTGTTTTTATTTTATGAGTCCAGCTTTACTATTTTTTATCCTGACAAGTTGTTATCTGGAAAAAAATTACCTGAAACACTTTCTTACGATGCGATATATGTTTTGTCTTTATTATTTTTTTTAAAGCAATCGAACAAGACGATGACAACACTGACAAGCACATAACCGTGACAGAGGCTAATGATGTTCCCGATCCTCAGGTATGGTGCGGCTGTAACACGGTGTTGTACCTTTCTCAGTTGAGGGTGGTCAGATGGAGAGGTGCTCATGAATGAGGCGGATTTGCCCTATGGGTCCTGCTATTGCTCATTTTCACCAGGTTTTGACATAAAGGCCTTTCCCAAGAAAGACCCTAAACTGTTCCTACGGAACTCCCCCCGTATCTGGCATAGTACACTCTGTAATTTCAACTACTCACTATCCAAACATGTGAAATAGAAATGGCCCACCAAATAAGCAATCCGTATGTTTTGAATTGTGTGTCACTCTGAGTGAGCAGTCTGGCTCCATCCTACCCAGGTTGCGACTTTTTTCTTTGTTCAAAGTCTTAATACTGTGTGCACTTCCTTCCGTTAGTCACTAGATAGCTGTATGGTTATTGGCTAGACAGCCCCGGTACTGCAGGACTTCTTCAATTTGCCCTCCCGTAATAGCCTGATGTTATGCAACAGTGCCCACATCACTCATCACCTCATCTCATGGCTGTTGCGTCATCTCACGTCATCACAAAATAGAAAGGGTGACTGTGCTACAATGTTTTGAAAAAGAAAAAGGCCATATTCGTGTAACACTTTCTGTAGTCTTTTGAGTGAGTTGTTCTCTCTTGTTATTAGTTGCTGTTGTTAACCTGTTGCAATGCTTAATGTATAAACAGAAGTATATCATATGTATATAAAAACAGAGTTCGGTACCATTTGGAGTTTTAGGTATTTACTGGGGAATCTTAGGGTGTGTCTTCTTCAGATAAGGATTGATAGAGGAAATACACTTCTTTCTCACTTCCTCTCTCCCTCTTTCCCCTCTGTATGTCTAGAGATTGATAGATACATAGATGATAGATAGTAGATAGATAGATAATGGATAGATAGATGATAGATAGACAGATGATGGCAGATAGATAGATAGACAGATAGATAATGGATGGATAGATAGGTGATAGATAGCAGATAGATAGGCAGATGATAGATAATGGATAGCAGATAGACAGATGATAGTCAGATAGATGATAGCAGATAGATAGAGATAGATAATGGATAGATGATAAATAGATAAATAGATGATAGATAATGGATAGATGATAGTAGATAGATAATAGATAGATGTTAAGTAGATAGATGATAGATAATGGATAGATGATAGATAGGTAGGTAGATAGATACATAGGTAGGTAGGTAGGTAGATAGATAGATAGATAGATAGATAGATAGATAGATAGATAGATAGATGGGACAGATAGATGATAGATTCCACTTCTCAAAAACGCAACCATGTAGAAGGCGTTGATCCTTGGCCATCTCTTCAAGCTGACAGGAGAGAAGGAGCTTGTGGTCATACTATAACATGCATGAGCTGCCAGAGATCTTGTGCTGTTGATCCCTAATAGCTAAATCACAAATGGACAAGATTTTGAATTGGATGCCTGAGTGCCAACAACCATTTACTTTATATTTAAATGAAGCATTTGAGGACTCAGTGTAGTTTGTTACCCTACTGCCTTTTGCCTTGAAGGTCCAAAAAAATCTATTGATTGTGTTTAGAATAATCGCATTATCTTTTGTCAGTCAAGGCTGCACAGGTTGTAGTATTTTTTAATAAATTTATCTTGTTTTGTTATCATATGAATGATGCTGTAGTTGAGTTTATATTCAAGTTATACTTCAGGCTTCAAGTATTCCCCACCTCAGTATTCATTGCCTCAAGCTTAGGCAGCAAATGCTCTCACTGGAGAGCCATCTCCCCGGCCCAGAAAAAGTGGATTTTAGGGTTAAGGTAATGCAGTCATTGTTTTCAGATGTGACTGCTTATTTGTCCTCCTTCTGTGTCCTTTTCTGAAGGATCCCTGTCCTTGTTTCATTTTTAGCCTTGGGGGAGTGGACCCACATTTTATGACTCCATTTATTGAGGAAACAGACTTTTCATTGGCATTTGTAACATTGCTCAGGCTGAAAACCATACAAACAGCTTTAATTATGCATTACAAGGAATTTTTTTCTCCCAATAGAGACCTTACAATAGGCTTTTAAATAACTCTTCTGACAGTTACGCATTAATCCTTCTCCTTCTCTGGCTCAGCAGCGCCAGGTAAACTGTTTGTAATTAATTTCGCATAGACACATTAAATAGACCACACATATGAAAGTCTAGGTCAAGGGCTATAAGTTATCTTGCCTCTTTTGTCCATAACAAAGCTCCCAAAATATATTAATAAATCCATGGGTTTCTTGAATTAAATTACTGAATTACAGAGCCATGAAAGGGACCCCCAGAGAACATCTGGCTTCGTGTTGTATTTCCAAAACTGCTATCCTATGAACCATGAAGGATTTGTGGCATCTCTGGGCTGAAAAGTCCTCCAGGGAATGAAGTGCCATCCATACAGTTCTCTGAAAACTTTCTACCAGGTAGTCATTTTATAAGTAGCTCTGTAGAATTATGTAGTTATTTTATAAGTAGAGCTGTAGAATTATCCAATGAAAATATTAGTACATCAGAAATTGAATGGAAACTGGAAAATAAAGACAGTATTAATTCCTTTTTTATTAGAAAATATGAAGTAAGTATAGAAGTTAAATTAATATGAAATATACTTTTTAAAGTAATAGTATTTGTTACTTAAAATGCAAATATTTGATTTATGCATTGATATGCCTGGTTCAGATAAAACAGTTTCCTTAGCTGGGCGTTGGTGGCACACGCCTTTGATCCCAGGATCCGGGAGGCAAAGGCAGGCGGATCTCTGTGAGTTTGAGGCCAGCCTGGTCTACAGAGCGAGTGCCAGGATAGCCTCCAAAACAATACAGAGAAACCCTGTCTCGGAAAAACAAACAAACGAACAGACAGACAAACAAAAAACCCATTTCCTTATACAAGGGGGAAAAAAGGACAAACCCCAAGGCTGTATTTATGATCCTTATCATGACATGAAATTGTTTGAAAATTTGTGGTTCTGTAGAAACCAATAAAATAGCCAGTGCCCCTCATGTCCTCCATCTGTTGCTGATGATGGAAACCGTTGCCTACAGAGCTGTGCATGGGACTCACGGAGTGTGAATCAGAGTCCTCGCAGGTTCTGTCCACTGAAGCCGGACACAGTAGCTCTCAGAGCTCCCAGCTGGGACCAGCCCTGCCGATTTCGTTCACACGCTCTCCCTCTGATGCTCAGAGGGCCAGACTGGAAGCAGGAGAGAAGGAAGGGGCAGACAGGCAGGAAGAGGGAGAGAAGGGAAGGCTCCTCAGTCACACGGCTGTATTACCGGGGAGTCCGTCTGAGGCTTTGTGGGATGTCAGCGTCTCCTCTACGGCAGGAGACAGGGAATCACGGAGTGGGGCACAGAGCAGAAGGAAATCTCAGGTGTGAGCACAGAAGGATGCTCCAGACACTAGAAGTTTACTGCTTTAAGAACGCAATCTTTAGGGGCCTGGAGAGATGGCCCAGGGCTTAAGAGCATTCACTGCTTTTTGGGAGGTACTGAGTTCAATTCCCAGCACCCACAAGGCAGCTCACTCACAACTGTCTGGTGCTGTCTTCTGGTGTGCAGATGCACGTACGTGTGTGTGTGTGTATGTGTGTGTATGTGTGTGTATGTATGTATATATGTATATATATATGTGTGTGTGTGTATATATATGTATATATATTACATATATAAATAAATGAAAGGAATGCCATCTTTAAAGAATGCTAATTATTTCCAAGTAGAACTAGCCCCACACAGTTTTCTTGTCCTCCCATCATCAAGGAGGGTACTCAATACCATTTATTCCCTTCTGCCCTCCCCTGCATTGATTTAAAAAAAAAAAAACACAACTTCATGATTGGTGCATGTATTTGGCATTATCTCAGATGGTAGGGACCATTAGAATTCTGACCAACAAGGGATATACTCTAAGGAGGAAGGCTAGGGTGACAAGGGTATTTAAGGGTAAAAATCAAATGGGCCCTCAGTGACGCCCTAGATCAACAGTTCTCAACCTGTAGATCGTGGCCCCTTGGGGGTGGGTGGTTGTTGCATGTCAGATGTTTGCATTGTAATTCATAGCCGTAGCGAAATTACAGTTGTGGAGTAGCAAGGACAATAATCTTTGGTTGGGGGGTCACCCCAGCATGAGGAACTGTATGAAAGGGTTGCAGCATTAGGAAGGTTGAGAACCATTGGCCTAAAGCGTCTCTGGATTTCTACAGTCTAGCTTCCTAGCAGGCCAGGAAATGACAACCACAGCCCCTGCCTACTGAAAATAGCCTACTCCATCCGCTTATCCACCACCCACCCCATTGGTGCTCCGAGGGTTTCACCTGCAGAGCCAAGTAGTTGCAACTTACAACCTGAGGTATTTACCGACTGGCCTGTCATGAAAATTGTGCTAGGGCTCGCCGCTTAGATGCCTGCTACGTGCCTTGTTTCTCACACCACCAGCGTCTTCTTCCCGATCCTTACTCTTCGTCAATAACTTCTGGGGGAGAAGATGCCTTCAGTAAAGAATCTTCACCAGTGGCCCCCATCAGACTCCGCCAGCCTGCCTGCATGCTGTCCCCTGTCCTGGTGGTTGGCATATTGATATTTACATTTCTGTCTAAGGGTCGATCCTTATCTTCTTTTCGTACTCAAGGGTATTTATTCATCTTGAAAGTGTGCTCACCCACATTCTCTCTCCCTCCCTCTCTTCCCTTCACGCTTCCTCTCCCTCTCTCGTATGGTCAAATTTCCCTGTGTGGTACATGATTTCTAACATAGATAAAAATGCTGAGGTGTCCTTCATCTCAACTCCACCGAGCCAGCAGAACTCTCGTTCTCATCATTCTTCAGCTGGGTCCAGTCTGCCACAGTATCCTTGGGGTTCTCTCTTGGCTTCCAGTTAGTGAAACTGTCCCCCTAACCACCTCAAGGGGAGATTCCTCTCCTCAAAATTCCTTTGTCAAATGATAGTTATTTGGAAACATCTTATCTGATACTCCAAACAGCGTACTGGTAGACCCCTACACACACACCCAACAGCATGCTGGTAGACCCTCCCCCACACACACACAGCAGCACAGTGGTAGGCCCCCCACACACACACACATCCAGCAGCATACTTGTAGGCCCTCACCAACACCAGCAGCATACTGGTAGACCCCACACATGCACCCAGCAGCATACTGGTAGATACACACACACACACACACACACACACACACACACACACACACACTGAAACCCTTTAGTCCTCTCCAAATTTCCCCTGAAGCTGCTCGCTCTTCCTGTCTCCTTTCTGATCCTCTGTACCCTCCTCCCACTGAAACATTGCAGTCAGCTCTTTGATTTATTATCACTGCATTCAAATAACCAAAGCAATACTGTCTATGCTCTGGATGGACCCTGGCATACTATCCCTGCCCATACCGTTGCTTCTGAACCTACAGACTGCCAAGCCTCATCCTTACTGGGACTTGGGGTAGTCACCTTCCTTCCATACTCCCCCAATATTTATAACTATTTGGGAAACTCCCAAACCACATCTGCCAACGCTGCTTTGAAAATGCATCCAGATGCCCCTCAAGTCTTGTCATCTCTTCCTATGCCTCAAGTGGGTGACACATCCTGGGTGAACACATGTCTTGTTCATGCTCTTCTAGTTCCAGCTACTTCATCCTCCCCTCTGGACACGGTGAGCCCCTATGCTGTAAATGTGTTTGCAATCATTTTCTGCTGGAGCTATTCCAAACAGTTTCATCTCGTTCAGAACAAGAATCCTGACTCTTTTTTTTTCCATAGGCAAAACACCATGTGTTTTAATAATAATAATAATAATAATAATAATAAATATTCATTGTCTTACAGATCAGTTAATACCACATTTAAGTACAACATATTTTATAGCATACCTGGTAAGATATCATTAGCTCATATCGTCACAAAGAAACCTAATTTTGAGAAGTAACCTAATTTTTCCTTATGAAGACTAATTATTATAATTATAATTCTCATTATTAAAAACTAAAATATGTATTCTGTAAATTCTACGTATTTCTGTTTTTTTTAATTAAGCGCAATATTGCCCTGTTGATGTAAGATGCCATCTGTTCAGTGTCCAATTTGACTCCTCCAAAAAGCAAACACCCTGATTCTTCATTTCACTGCTGTGTGGATCTTTATACTTATTTTACTTCATCTTAAAATTTGAATTGAAGATGTTGATCTTTACCAACACAAAGTATATGCAACAGGTATGGCTAATATTAGGCAAAGCTCTACCACCAAACTAATCTCCAGGATAGCATGAACTTATTTGTCTCTCTCTCTCTCTCTCTCTCTCTCTCTCTCTCTCTCTCTCTCTCTCTCTCTCTCTCTCTTCCTCTCAGACACACACACACACACACACAATGCATACAATGTGATATATCAGTATATTTATACATTCTATAAGTTGACATCAGAATAAACACATTTATTTAAAACATTTGTTACTTATTTATGATGGAGACTTTAAAAATGCCTTATGCTTGCTTTGGGAAACATGCATTGATGAGTGTCATAGTCACCTCACAGAAATTATTTTCTAATTTTTTTTCTTGGAAGTTTTGTGTGTATGTGCGCGCTATATTCTGACTACAGTACTCCACCCCTGCCAGCTCCTCCAAGATCCTCCCCAGCTCCCTTCCCATCTGAATCCACACCCTTTCTGTCTCCCCTCTAAAAACCAGATAGATGGCCAGGCAGTGGTGGCACACGCCTTTAATCCCAACACTCAGGGAGGCAGAGGCAGTCGGATCTCTGTGAGTTTGAGACCAGCCTGGTACAGGGCAACTTCTAGGACAGCTAGGGCTACCCAAAGAAATCTTGTCTCCATAAACAAAAAATATCAAGCAGTCATCTAAAGAATAATAATGAAATAAAGCAAAAACCAAGCAAACTGGAATAGGACAAAACAAACAGTAGAAAAACAACCAAAGAAAAAGCATGAGGAACACAAACAGATTCAGAGACACACACACATATCCCTATACTCAGGGTTCCCATAGAAACAGAAAAGTGGAAGCTGTAATTTATGTGCAAAGGACCTGTAATTTTTTTTTAAGTTTTAACAAAACATTGTAAGACAAAGAACCTCCAAAGATATGATTGAGTTAGTTTTGTGTTGACCATTTGGGGCTGGGCATGAGGGCTACCCTTAAGAGCGGTTTGTATCTCCAGTAAGATTCCAGGGAAAAGAACTAAGTTTTCATTTGCAAGTGGTTATCAAACAGAGATGGCTTGGGGGTAGGGATAGGGGTTTGTGTCCCTGTCTCTCAGCACTGAAACCCCATTTGGTGCCGACCAGTGCTAGCACCTCTGAGTTCACATACGCATCAGACCTACTGTGTTTAGGATTCCCGTTTCCTTCCTGTCCTCCATCCTTTGGTTCTTATACGGTCTTTCTGCCTTCCCTCCTAGAGTTCTCCAACCTCTGAGGGCAGGGATTTGATGCTGACACCCCATTTAGGACTATAAACTCCTAATACAGCCCAGAAGGGAACTAAGTGGTTGGATCTCTGACCATCTAACCAAGTAGCCCCTGTCCTACCGGGATGATATTCTTTCTTGGTCATTTGGCATGCCAGACACCCCAAACCCTCAGAGTCCTTGTTCTGCTTAAAACGCACTTCTTTGGGAATTGGCGTATCTTTTTCTGGCTTCTTTTAGGTTACTGTTCAAATACCATCATATTGGAAAATCTCCTGATTCTCTGGTCCCAACCCCTCATGCTCTATTTTTTTTTTCCTGTCACATACCGCCTGGTATTTCTGTTTTTTTTTTTTTTATGTTATAGAATCTTCTTCCTCTGATGAATGTAAGCTCCAGGGACATGAGGGACTTTGGGGGAATTTATTCTGTAGCTTTAGGATTTGTGTGGGTGGTTATTAGGTAAAGTCTATTGAATGGGTGTATAATATAGACTAGAGATATGGGGCTGGATAATATTAAATAATGTTGCAATGAGGCCGGGTGATGGAGGCATATGCTTTTAATCCCAGCGCTCGGGGAGGCGGAGGCAGGCAGATCGCTGTGAGTTCGAGACCAGCCTGGTCTACAAGAGCTAGTTCCAGGACAGCCTCCAAAGCCATAGAGAAACCCTGTCACTAAAAACCAAATAATAATAATAATAATAATAATAATAATAATGTTGCAATGAGTATGTTTAATACTAGAAAGGCTGTGTTACTATGTTCATGGACTGACACTAAATAACTTCAAGAGTTATCGGGGTGGGGTTGGGGGGGAGGTACGGGGCTTTCCAGCAGCTGGCTGTCCACCATGTACAGGATGTCTTAAGATAAACCGAGGTCCTTGCCCAAGGAAACTTAGGAAAGAAACTAAAAAACACCATTTGTGAGGAATGTTATAAATAAGCATAAACCTCATGCTTTGGTGGGAGAATTCTGCTTGCTGCCCTCTAGGGGGTCTGTGATGGCTAGTTGGAAAATTTCTTTTCTTCTGAGCCCTTGGGAATAAAGTTGTAGTTGTTGCTTTGAATGTCCAGTTTGATTTCTGTGATGCCATTCGATAGCATGGGTGCCTTTCACACCAGCTGTTAAGACCTTGAAGCTCGCCTGGAGGTGGGGGCACAGACCTTTAATCTCAGCACTTGGGGGATAGAGGCAGGTGTATCTCTGTGAGTTCAAGGCCATCCTGGTCTTTATAGTGAGTTCCAGGATAGCCAGAGCTGTTACACAGAGAGACCCTGTTTTGGGTGTTTGTATGGCGTAGGGGAGGGGCCATGAAGCTTGAGTCCTGTCCCCATATTTGGTCACATTACTGAGTGTATTCAAATCCTGTAGGTTATGTTGGGTAAATAAAGATTCAGTGGTTTTGACTAATCCTGCCAAGTTAACTTCAGGTTTCTTTATTAGAGCATGCCTTGGTATGTTTGTGTGAACCATTTAGGAAAGAATTTGAGTAGAAATAGTTTATAATCTCTGTGTTAGAATGACCTTTTTTCCCCTATTTTAAACTCCTAATTTTATCTCCTTCTTATTATTACTACTTATGGCCTTCAATATATAAAGAAATATATGATGCTTAGTGGGTTGTTTCTAAATGCCCATGAGTGCTTTTACTCATGCCCTTACTGTAATTTTCCAGTTGTGGGGGGAAAAAGTTTATCCCATAATCTTCTTGCTGTGTTTGTCCATGGAATGATCCACTCGAGCTAAAGAATTGGGAAGTTGTAGACTGTTATTTTTAGGACTCTGTATCACTTCACCCTTTTTGCCAGAGTGGTTCCTGGCTAACTTTCCCATGAATTTTTAACCTTTTGCTGGGCTTTGCTTATGTAACAGGAAACAGGCTGTCAGGAACAAACAAATACCAGCCTATCAGGCGAACACGTACTAGCAAATGATTTAGTTTGCCTCTTCCAGCTCTTAAAGTAGACTGATACATGCTCTCAACCTGAAGTCTCTTGGCGCGGTATCTCTACATTAAGACAACACAGATTTAACTTTGGAAAAGCTAAATCTTTTTACAAAGGCCATGATTTAATTCAGATCGCAGGGAAAATGCGCTCCCTATAAGGCGAACTTTGTGTTGGTGTCATGTCCTGGGACTGTGGATTTAAGTATATCTTCGCTTTTTCTCCAACTCTTAAGGCTGGAGTGATGTGCAAGCTTCAAGAGAGAGATGATATCGGGTGTATCGAGCTGGTCCAGAAGCTAGCAAGAGAAAACTGTCAGTTTTTACAGGCAGATAAAAAGGAGCCAGAGAAGTATGAACAGGTAAACCCCTCTTTTCCTCTTGGGGACGTGCAATCAGAATGGATGGGTAAACGCTTGTATATATGAGGGCGAGAATATTTTATTTGGAATTGTTTAGGGTTTTACCTCTGCAAGCAGCCTTCTCAGTAAAAAAAAAAAAAAAAAAGGTAGGTACTCTGAAGTCTTAAGCTAGTGTCTTGGGGACTGGGTTTGTAAGAGGATGCTTCTCAGACATAAGCCATAAAGAAATGTTGACAGCCAGGAATGCATGTCTGTCATGATTCTGAGTTGACAGCTTCCAGGTCTTCCACTGTAAAATTTGTTCCATTCAGTAGTACAGAGAGCATACATTTTTGAGAGAATATTCCAAGGCAGTTTTATGTTTACCTTGGTCGTGGATCTCACTTGCAAAGGGACGTATGTACCCTGAGTCATTGGAAAGGGCAGAAAACAAGAGGGCGGGTCAGATGGAGACTTCCCAGTAGCTTCTCAGTGCTGTGTTCCAACAAGAGTGACATTGTATGGATACAGTGAAAGCTGGGGAGCGGGGGAGGACGGGTTGCTTGGTACCCTGAAAGCAGTTATTGAGCCAGAGATGCTGCTGCCCTCAGGCCAGGGAGACAATGTAGCCGCTTTGTTTTGCCACATATTGTGATCCGCTGATTGTTGTTTGTTAAGACTTCACTCTTACTATCCCGAACTGCTCACAAACAAGACCAGATCCTTGTCTTTCTCTGGCTGTATAGTTTTGTTTCACGTTTTATTTTCAAACCCTTCCAGAAGCTGCTACATGTTTTTTTTTTTCAAGCCCTAAGTCTGTTGATACAAATGACAGGGTTTTTACCCAGCAAAGGATGGGCCAGGACTTAGGGGCTTTCAACAGTTTTGCTTAGCATTGTGACAGTTGTTGTCTCAAGTGGTGGGAATGATAAGATAATTTCAGAGCCTTGAGAGTGAACTGTTGCAGGGCTAGCTGCTAGCTAGCTTTAAAGTGTACTTGGAAGATTCAGACGCCTACCTGCCCTTTGCTGAGTACTGTAGAAAAGTTTAAGTGCTTATGTGAGATGTTAAAAACACCCTAGAGTTTGCCTGTGTCACAGCCTAATTCTTACCCCGTCATATCCTTAGGATATTTGTGTATCTTAATGTGTAACTTTAACTTCCCAAGGCGCTATTCCTTTGGATTCGTTTTAATTAAGAAACCCATAGCTTTTCATTTGCTTTTTTTTTTTTAATTCAAGATGCACTGTGAGCCCTCACTGTTGATGGTGTGAAATCACACCATAGTTTAATTAGGGGTGTTCTTCTTTCCTGGTTGTCCTTTAAATGAACACTGTATCTTCTGGGTGATTGCAAATGAGATGCATTGAGCCAGTGACAGCCTGGGATAGGGCAGAGTTGTTCAAAGCCACATGATAGAGCCTCACTCCACAGGAGCTAGATGTAGGCTTCAGCCGTGAAGAACGTTGTGCCGTTCACAAGACACCCCGTGCTGTCTTTGTTTTCTAACTATTTTAATCCAGAGTATTACAGTTGCAGCTAGTGAGATTATAATTCCCTCCAAACTGTAGAAATCTGGAGGTGGTGCTAGTCATTCCTAAGGCTTTTAAAGGAGCCAGAAATCCAAGTGTGAAGATTTGCTGCATGGTTTGTGGTTATCTTCTTCCTGGCCTTTAAACCCTTTAAAGTCTCCCAAAGTAAAGAGTTTTTAGAGTGTTTTCACAGGACATTCCTGTCTCACTGGAAAGTGTAAAATCAGCTGAGGTGTGTGATCTCCATCTGCAGAATGGCACCGACTTTAGTCAGTCAGCACCCAGAGGAAAAACCACATGTGCTGTTCCATAAAGGAATGGCTATGTATTAGGCACCTGTATGCTTTTACAATCGCTATCTTAAAACTCCAAGCCTTCTGACCTGATTTCAGTGCTCTTGCTCGTGCAAACTGGAAGCACACAGTACAGGCAGAGGGAACCGCAGCTCGCCAATGTAAACCCAAGCCCACGGCTTCCTCCTGTTTCCACAGTAATGACCCAACCCTGCAATTGTGTACAGATTTCCTTTATTTCACCGTTTTATAATCGTTTATCTATCTCATCTGCCTTTCCTGGCTGAAGCTACATGAAGAATGCCTACATTTACATTAGAGTCCCAAATGCCCCTTGGACTGTTATTTTTACTCAGCCCTATTCTCCAGCTGCAGAACACTACACTCTATTCCTCTCATTATGTGTATGCCTAAACAGGGAAGTAACTCTGAAGGATAACTACTGGGCATGGCGTAAAACAAAGCCCTTGCAGCTCTTGCTGACCTGTTACAAATTTAAGGGATTACAACCTTCTGAGTGGGCATTTCTAGTGTTTTCTTAAATTGGCAAATGCTACGATTATAAATTCATGCAATCATTGAAATGTTTCACTATGTGCTTATGCCAAGATGTTTCAGGAGGGAAAATTAAAAATGTAATTATCATGTTTCTCAGGAGTCACTCAGCATACCTATTTTCTGCTAACTTGCTACAGGCAAAATTGGGCATCACGCATTTCTAAGTGCTGGTAATTAATATCTGAAGACTTAACACAAGAGGGCAAAAAAAGGGACCGTGCTTCCAAACATTATGATGGGAGACTCAACGTTCCATTGTTAATTCTTCGAAGAAATTAGCCTCTTACATGGGCATAGAATTTATAGGCCTTAATTCTGTCGTGTATCCGTAAGGGAGAGGAACAAGCAGGGATTCTGCACTTGACCTTGGAGGATGACCGATGGCGACCTCTGCATTTTAGGCAGGGGACCAGCCATTAGTGATTCATGGGGTCGGCTGGAAGGCTAAAGTGAAGTTGATTGTGAAAGACCCAGTAAGCCACCCTGGTGAGTTTAAACTTGTCTTTTTGGCAAGGGAGAGCCGCCACCAAATAAGTAACATGGCTAGATGTGGGTTTTGTCGGTTCTCTCTGGCTTCAGTTCAGAGGAATAACTGGGTGAGGAAGAGAGAAACGTTGGCAAGAATCTTAAAAAGCTATTGTAGTCGGTCCGATGAGAGGTGTTAGCCTGTGGGAACTGAGAAGGCGGTAGGCGTTAAGAGCCGTATAGGCATGAAATGGCAGAGCTCGATGATTGATAATCGGGAGTGCATGCTCTATTTTCTATTGAATAACATTTTAGTGCTGATTAATGCTTCTTGACTACAGAGTGGAAATAAGTGTGTTGTGGTTATTATTATTGTTACTATTATTTGGTGTTTATTTGTTATCTTTGGAGACCAAAATCGCACTGTGTGGCTCAGAGTGGCTTTGGGTTCATGGTCCTCCAGTCTCATGTCTCTGAAAGCTTGGGGTTTAGTTCTGTAACAACATGGCTGGCCAGGAGCTGCCTCTGTATGTCACCAGAACGGTGGGTTTACTTTATCCCCAAATCCATATGAACCATTGGCCTTGCTTTGTTTCCCTGAGCTGTTCAGAAATGGCCTGGGATCTCCATGTGTATCTTGGCTTATGAGTTGCTAGTTGGCTAACGGTGTGGAGACCGCATAAACAATCCCCCCCCAAAAAAAACAATCCCCTTGAAATATCTTCAAAGAGAATCTCTACTCATCCCTTAATCTTTTGGCCACGTGTAGCTGTTTGCTGTGCAGTGCAGTCTACTTTGTTCAGAAAAGGTCTCTATCGACGCTAGACTTCTTTCTTTTGAAACCTCTGTCTTGTGGGTTACTTTGACAGATACTGTTATTGTAGAATGTTCTCTTCATAACCATTCAGGCATTAAATTTTTACTGAGGTTGGTATCAGAGAGAATTTAGAATAGCTGTGCTGGCTACCGTTCCTCAAGAAGTTCATCTAGTTGGGAAGAAAAGACACCAGGATGATTGACAGCTCCGCAAGAAGGATGCAGTGAGAACCCACCCACAGAGATCAGCGTGTGGGTCGGGGAACTTGATTTACGGCTGGGGATACTGGATTCTGTCTATAGCAGAGGTAGTAAGAGTTGATACTTTTTTTTTTTTTAAAGTAAGTTTGGGTCAGATCTAAGCAATTCTATTCGAAGACCATTCAGTCTGACGGGTTGGAAAGCTGAGGGTTGATGGCGGTTAGGTAGAGCTAGGCTGGGCAAACTCCAGTGTGGTGGCCTTGGGAGGACATCTTCCCTCAGCACTTGTCACAGGACTTAAGGATGCAGAGGAGCTAGGCTGCTCAGATGGCAAGAGTCATGGTGTCTCTGTGGAAGAAATGAATGAGGCAGCCTTGGGGGGAAGGGGAGGGGCAGAATGATGGGAAGGTACCGCCAGGGAGGTGGAGAGGCGGGGGGAAGGAAAGGCCGGCGACGTGTTAGTCTGCACGCTTCGCATTAATAGAACCAATATTTGCAGTCTCTGTGGAGACGTGGGTGCTGTCTTCTGGAATGAGGCTGTAGAATTAACCAGGAGGCTGAGACGGTTTCTCCTGAGATGCAGCGTGTGCTTTATGGGCATGAGCTACACCAGCTGTAGCTCCAGAACAGACTTCCCCCAGCTCCCACTTGTAGAGATGGTGTGTAAGCAGTTGTTCAGCAGGGCTTTCCTGAGGGGCTTGGTCTCCACCCAGTTTTCTTCAGTTCCTTTGTTTCAGTCTGCAAGACCCACCCTGCTTCCTTCCCCTTCCCTAATTCACTCATGAGATATGGGTGGGAAGGGGACTTGGCATACTCTGAGACTGAATCTTGGCATGGTCTGCCGCCTACCCCAGGGAAAGCTCCCTATCGCTCCCCCCTGGACCGGAATTTCCTTTTCCCTGTTTCCTGCAGCCTCATCCTGGAATTCTACAGACGTCAATGGGGCCCCTTGTTTAAGGACTGCTGAGAAGTGGTTTCGTGTATCCCGGACTGCTGTCACTCCTGTTTTATACATTCAAAGTTTGTTTCGGTGACTTCATTTCATTTTAAAAGTGGGGCTGAATGTAGGGTGGTGTCTTTTTTGCTCTGTATAAAGTACTAAAAAGGAATGTGTTTTGTCATACAGCCTATGTTCCCACGTGTAGGTGAGAATAAC